CTTTTTTTGCAATTGCTTTTTCTAGAAATTAGATCATTTGTGCTGGGGGCATAGGTATGGGGGGCGTGGGGGTTACGGTTTCAAACTGCCCCTCTTTGCTACTGTTTCGCAACAGCCATTTCTGGTCGAAAAACCCAAAAGCTGTTCTAAGGGCGCCTTGGGCACCAAAATATACTGATTTTAATGGGGTGCCGGGGACTGTAGAGAAGCAATTTTTTTGGTCAAAACTATCGGTAGAAATTTAGCTTCATATAGTCGTTTTCGGCTTCAGCAGAGCTCGCCAAATTCAAAATGGCTGGCCTGAATTTTTTTATCCGCATTCGTTGTCAGAGAATTAGCGGCACCCGAACCGTTCTGTTTTATTGCACAGGATGTTTTTCTTTTTTCTTGGAAGATTTTATAATGAGCTGAGGAACATGTGATTAAAAACAGTCCATTGTATTGAATTCTAGTGTTGCTTCATAAATCATGAACTGCAACTAACAGCAACTCCTGGAAACCAGGTTTTCCGCAGTGTCAAATCCTTTCTCAATGGAATGTTGTCTTAATTTTAGACAGATAGGAAACAAAATTTAGTTAACCTGCTTGACAAGACAAAAAGTCTCGTGGTCAACAAAGTTTCGCGCCTAAATGAAATTTATTTTCTCTTCGAAACCCACTTTGCTCTGTTAGAAACTATTTGGGAGGTACTTTAAACTATGAAAACAATTTCGCTCAGAAGTCGAAAATCTTTTCAAAACAACGCTGGGCTCTTCTAGTTTTATCGGTGAAATATTTGATCAATCTTATGGCTTATAGTATTTAAGTCTTTGAGGTAAAACAGACGGCCTTAGAAGTCTTGCCCCTTGTCTTGCCCCTTGTTTCCAATAACAAGATTTAACATCCGATCTATTTCACAAGTGCGAAACGTATAACTTTACCAAATAACAAAAGAAAGAAAGTCCGAGATACTGCTTTCTGAAAGACAAAGCTAAGCTTATAATTATCTTTTTTTTACAAAACAAAATGTTTCAAAGAAGGTCAATTGCACCAAATACTTGTCAATGATATACATGAATTATCTTCGAAATCATTAAATTGTCGTAAATCTCACCAATCAAACGGATATTTAAGTGCTGTTGTGCTGTTCCACCTTTTTAGAGAAAAAAGAATGGCTGGTTGCTCTGCAAGCAGCACGGAATTTTGCGACCACTATTACGTTTGAAACAAATATTTAGATAAAAACAGTTTTGTCTTCGATTTTTTTTGCCAATTTCAGCCTTTTCGTAATGGCGTCAGAAGAAGAACGTGAAGTTGTTGAGGACCTTAGTTAAGGCTTTGTTCAACCACAGTTGAAGATTAACAACGAAGAAAACAGCAAGTTTTTTTCAGATTTATGTAGAAAACACTGGAGAGGCGCTGTATCAAGTGCTGAAAAAGTGTTTTATAAAAAGCTGAAGAAGCTTTTTTAGTACTGAAAAAGCACTAAATAAATTGCAAAAATTAATTTTTTACCGCCTAAATAAGAGTTTTTATAAAATGAAACAAGAAAAATTATATATTTTTATTAAGAATTGTCGTTTTCTTTTTGATCGGGCAAAGACCAAAATTGAGAAAACTAAGATGACTTTATTAACGTATCATAAAAAATAACTACACTCAAAAACTCGTTAACCAATTTACTTCAACGCATTAAAAGTCGCTAAAAATGAACAATGGCTCTAGAAAGGCTCTCAAATTTGACCAAATTTTGACAAACCAGCAAAACTTTTAAAGTTTTGTTACGCTGATTGAATTTCAACTGAGATTTAATGATTTTGAAATATCAATTGATAAGAATGATTTTTTTTGTGGTGCCGTTTTTTGCGTGAGAAAAAAACAAACCGAATGCAAAATTATACTGTATTTGGAAGTCGGAGCAAAAGGTTTTTTAAGTCAATCTGCCTCTTTTTAGAAATTATATTAAGTTACGAACTGACAAAATTTATAGAACTAATTTTTACTCACCGCTATCTCCCTAGTTGTGCAGACAGTTTTAAAAAAATTATATGTTTTTCTAGCTCTTCTTCTAAACCCACAACCCTTCTGCCCGTCATCTCATTTTCTGTGTTACTAAAATTTGACAGCGTAATCCAATTGCCATGAAATTGGCCTGTGGTCAATTTACGCACTAACAAACACGTTTTTTCTTTATGTACAACTTTCTAAAGTCAATGATTTGCATAAACTGGTGATCAATTTAGTCAAGTGGTGATAGCAAACAGGTTTTCAAGTTTCAGCACTTTAATCAATTGACCTCAACACTCGCACCAAAAATTATTTGTAGTCACCGACACTTCGGCGAGGTTCTCATGATAGCGCAACAAAATTGTGCAAACTGATTGTACAAATAATTAAGTTAGTCAAACGATGACAGTACTTGAACCTATGTCTTTAAATACTTGTTTGAACTGCGATAGATTCAGCGTCTCAAGTAGCGACTAATCCGCCTGAAACTAAAATTTTTTTAAGTGTTTATCATACGTTTTACTGAAAGCTACACAGTTATCGAAAAAATTTAGCTATCGAAGTTGACTAAAAGTTGTGGCTGAAAAAACATGCCAAATTTTGTGAACATAAATTGTCAAATTCAGACTCTCGCGACCGAAAAAACGTTTTTTTTTCTTTCGGTAATTGATCTAATTTTGCATTACACCAAATATCTATGCTTTTGTAAGATCTTAGAAGTTATAATATGCCTATAAGGTTGATGCATTTCAATTTAATCACAGGAAGCTGCCGATGATAACTATGCCCGCTTTGGCAATACTATAGATTGCAATCGATTATAATCAGATTTTATGCCGATTTTTTTCTAAAAAAGTGATTGTATGGTTGATTGTATAACTCAAAAAGATACCTAAATGGATGATATAGAGATTTTATACAGTAAAAAACAATGGATTACATGGTTTTAAAAATGCAAGTTTTGCGATAGATAATCTCAATATAACATGTATGAAATCCCCAGAATCTGTGTTAAATCAATTATGTTGTTTGTAAATAGACTCTATTGTCTAGAAAATTGATTTTTTCTCGCTTACGCACTTTTTTAAGATGCCAAATACAAAACTTTAAGCCTACAAAAACTTAAATTATTGGTGGTTTTCGATCACAAAAGCCACCAAAAAATTGTAGACACGAAAAATCTCTGAGTGTTTGAGTGAACTACAGCCCCTTGAGGAGAGTTGTTTACCAAAAAAAAATAAAGTTTCATTAAATCTTTCAACGATTTTGTAATCTAAGGGCTCCTGCGGAAGTAAAAATAAGTTAGGACGAGTTTTCTTTAAAAGCCATTTCTAAGACCAACCTAATCAGCGTGTTTTCCCAAAAAAGAATTGAAAAACAAATTAAAAGATTTGACAAACCAATTTAAAAAATAACAAATAGTTTTGCAACAAAATATTCGTTTGTTAATGATTCCAGCAGAAATTTTTCCAACAGGTCTGTTTTTAATTGAAAAGCATTTGTTATAATTATAATTGCGTTTTACTCATTTTATTGGATATGGGTAAAGGGTGAAAAAATCGATAAAAAAATCTGTATATAATATGTATTATGTCAGTTCAAAAGTTTGTATATGATCTGCAGATAACCTGTATACCATCAGTAGATAATATATTATGGTTTGTATGTAGTCTGTATATAATTTGTACCTTATCTCTTTACAATCTGTGAAGAATATCTATAAAATTTAAATCTGAAAAGAAAATGAGGTATATATAAGCTGTCGATAGTTTGTAAAATGTATGTACCAAAATTTATACGAAAAAAGATTTTAGATAACAATTGAATTGATTATTTCAAGTATAAAAATACAATCGATTTCAATCAAATTGATAGCTAGCTTTGTTCGTTATTTGGTGTTTATAAAATCATCTTTTTCACCATTGTATAGTTTACTTGCGATAACCCATTGCAAAGCTAGTTTTGCCAATGCGATTGCGTATAGTGCTCTTTTCAATGTTGCTAGATTTTATTAGGAAAATGATTCATTAGTCTGCAATTTTTTTCATATGAAAAGTGAGGTGTTTTCATTTTAAATTCTATTACCGCTAAAAGACATTTATTGCTTGGCGTCATTTCGTGAGTTTTCGTTTAGATCATGCGAAGAATTTTGTAACAACCTCAATACACACGACTTGAAAAAGTAACACTTTTTTGTATTGTTTCTAATAAATTCGAAGATGTAGTTTTGATGAATTTAATAAAATAAACAGTCAGACGTAATTTTTTTTAATTGTCATCTTTTTTACTTTATCTAAAACTAATGAAAGTGATCTCGAAGTTTTTGATTAAAAAAAAACAAGTTACTTTTCAAATACTGAATTTAGCAGCTTTCGGTTGGTTTCCACATAACTAAACGTCCAAAAATGAGATTTCATTTAAAAACTCAGCATGGGTCAAACCGCAAAAAAAATCCACGAAAATTTACTAGCGTAGAGAAAAATATTTTAATGAAAGTATATAATCTGTATATAACTTGTAAATAGTATGTAAAAAATCTGTATAAAAAGAAGTGCATATAAGCTGTAGTTTGTAGATTGCATGTACCAAAATTTTTATAAGAAAAGGATCCAAGTAACTAGTAACTATCAAACAGCAAAAAAAAAATCTCACAAAAATTTTCAAGCGTTAAAAAATTACTTTCAAAAAAATGTATGTGTTTGTAATCTATATAACATTTTTATACAATCTGTATATAATCTGTATGCAGTCAAGGGGAAAGCCTATTTCCCGAAAACTTTGTAAAAGAGTTTGTGTATATTATCTGCATATTATCTCTATACAATCTCATATTATCTCTACTCAATATGTATAACAGTTTTTGGCGCATACAGACCGAAAAGTCAAGATTTCGTTCCCCATAGTCTGAAAATGCAAAAATGCTAAAACGGTCTGAACATAAAATTACGACCTCGACCAGGGCTGCAATGTCTACGTGTTCATTTTCTCAATTAATAGTAGAATAAAAACAAGGAAGTAAACATTAAATTAATTATTTAGTAAAAGATAAGCCCATCAAACAGGCGAAGGGAGTCATTATGACGAGACTGACCAGCAGAATCTGAATGAACAACAAGTACCGCTCTCTGTCTTCCATGTATCTCTCAAACGCCGCTTCCAGGGCCCTAACAGTCGCATTGAGAGACTCAAACACTCTGCCCTGGATAACATAACCTGGAACCCACTGTAACAGCTGCTGGGTGAACTTCTGGGTTAGCTTGACCTCAATCGCTCGGCCAAGTGAGACGTATAAATACTGGTCACTAACTGAATAGAAAATAAGCACGACGTCATCACACAGTTGGTACTTCAATCGTAGTCTGATTTTGGTGGCCGTGTATTTTATGGAGTCCTGTTTGGTTTTGTGAGTTGATGCTGTGTTGTAGAAAAATGATACAGATTGTTGGTACATTTGGATTTTGGACTAATATCAGGAATATCGCAAAAGCTCGTAAAGTTTCAAACTTAAACTATGATACCACACTTGACACCCTACTTTGTTTCAAGATTTATGAACTGGACCATCAAAAACAAAAAATGAATAGGGGCCACTAAATTTTTTTTAAAAAGTGAGTTGCAATAAGGTGAAAACAAAAAGATAACCGGAAAGAATGTTCTGACCACAGTAATCCAGTCAGTACTGGAAAATAATTTTGAATCGAACTTTTTGGCATTTTTTAAAATTATTTTTCTAATAAAAAGTTGATTATGTAAAGTTTGATTTATTAATTTGATTTTATTTATCGCTAAAGTAAGGTAGAAAATGAATTTGTTTTGCATAAAGAGTTCACAATGTAAATCTCTCGTACATTTCTCCTAGTAAGTTTGTCTGAAAAACTGACGTTATATTTTTGTTGCTGCTATAGTTTTTTGCGTCCAAAGATGTATTAGTATCTGCACCAACTGGTGTATCATTTAACCTGTTTCGTTTGCAACTGCGATGTAGACTTTGGGACCAGATGGAAAAACACTACAGTTTCTGGCGTCCGAACAGAAACAGATATAGTTGAAGGAGAACAACTCCAATGCGTACGATAACTTAGCCCCTTCAGTTGCATTTAATAAATTGTCTGGATCACACAGTAAGGAGGAGTTGGCTCGTCCACAGAGAGACTGGTTTGTTTTAGGGTTTGGGAAGTTGGCTCCATTCCACTTGGAGTATAAGACCCTAGCCCTCAACCCTCTGCTTACTTTCGTTATTTTCTGAAGGGCAATTATGGAGGCACTTTGTTCGAATGTTGTCGAGTTTGACTGAAGGGTGAATTGCTGTGATATGTTTTGACAGTGGAACTGGCCTTCGTTGCCTCTTAAAGGTTGCATGACTAGCGACCCATAAAACGTGCAGACTTTCGACTGATTTCTAACAGAAGTCCAAATCACGGAATCATTGCATCTGCTTACATCATTGCTCATTTTTGCAGATACTTTGTACAGAGGTTCAATTTTAGATCTCGGTTTTGATGTGTTGTTGTCTAAAGAATGTATCGGTAAGTTCTCAAAAAGTATTGATATGAATTGTGGTTTATACGGTCTGTCCAGAAAACAGTGGCCTGGAATTTTGCACAAACATTTGACATCGGATAAACTTCGAACTGTTTCTGAGCTAGGCTTGAAAAGTGGCTCATTCTCAACTGAAAAAAGATTTCGGGATCCCCCGGAAATCAAGTAGGATTCCGTTGAATCTGAAAACAGAGTGTGTACTTCTGGAACACGGCATAGTTTAATGACAGCCGTCTGGTTTTTGATCTGCTCATGACACATTTTGATCACAAAATTCGTGAACTTATCTGCATGTTCGGTTTCGCTGGCTAAATTACTGACTAAAGATCCAGTTGATTCTGAGAAACTGGAGTAAAACAACTGTAAAATTAGGAAAAATTGTAAAAAAGCACAATAAAAGTGATACTTCAAAATCCACATCATGATTGCGCTTACTGGAAAATGATGGTAGGATGAGTTTTGCTGTCAATTCATTATTTATTGTATAAAATGTGCTTCATTTGATTTGGTTGCTTCTGATGTGTGATGTTTTTTAATGAGGCTGGAGTGAAAAAATAAGCGGAATGGGATGGAATCGTAATAATATTTAAATGAGGTGTTCCTTCGTGGCAATCAGGCGCTAAATTGAACCCACCCGTCTGGTTCTTCTTCCAGCAAAGCAAGTCTATTTGGGTAGTTAGGAGAAGCCGGAAGTGTGGTTTTGGGGATATTCAGGGGTGGGGTGATTGGGTAATAACTGGGCAAATTCTTGGCTTTGCATTTTATCGGAGTGAAAGTGGATATAAACTAAGAGAATTCTTACTGGCTTAGTTATGCCAATTGAACTCTTAGAGAAGCCTTCGGGGCATGCATTAGTAATTATGGGAATAAATAAGCGATTTAAAGTGGGCCCGACTCTGCTGCTGCCAATAACTACAAAATAAAGCTCTGAATGAGTTGCACTCTAAGTGGGTATACGAGGGCAGGGCACTGTAGATATAGAGCAGAATAGGGTTGGGTAAGATGGTCTAATGTGATTGGCTATTATCGACAAAAGAATACAGAACAAGCAAAAAGTACTACTCAGCTACGCTGTCTGATCTAAATCGGCGCCATTAGAATTTCACTACAACGAGCACCCCTGAATATGATCAAGCAAAGATCTCATCCGGTCCTGTTCCTGTAATTGTTAAATAAAACAATAGTAAAAAAAACAGAAGTGAAATAAATTTATAAATATTTGCAGAACCTAATGCAGTAGTAGTAATTTTTGCAGTTTAGCTAACGTCGTGTGGCTGATGGCAGTATGGAACTGAATTGTGGACGCACTGCAGGCTTACTAGATGGTGGTGGAGGGGTGGGAGGGGCGGATGGGGGGAATTGGGGGTTTGGGGTTGGTTGGACTGGAGATCAATTGGGATAGTGGTAATAAAAAAACTCCTTCGGGGACTAATTAGGTTGGTTAGAAGTCGTGTTGTGTTCTGTAGTGCTGCTCTGTAACATAAATGGAGAACCACACTAGTGGTATGTCTAGAGACCTCTTTTATCCTTTCGTGAGGAACTGAATGCAGTATAGGAACATGTGAAGTCTCGCTGTTAATCTGTAGAGCCCACTAGGTAAGAACTTATTAATCCAGACGCCAATAATTGATTGTACCATACCCCTAGTTACATTAAGTCAGTAGGGATAATGCACATGCGTATAATTATGGCACTATACTAATGTTGACACAGGTAACGAAAGAATTTATAATATACCTTTAAAATAACACGGGAAATTTTTGTCTGGAAAATAGACTGGTAAAATCGTTAACAAGGTTGTACTTTAGATTATCCCCCTCTTAAAAACCCACAAATCTGGCTGGAAATAAACCAAGAATATCGTTGATAAAATTGTGTCTATGTGAAAATGGAGTTCTGAAATTCGCAACTACAATCTGGTAGCTTACTGAAATGATGATAGGGATCGATCAAATTTTAAGCAAATAGAAACTCTTTTTTGCTCCATTAATTACTGATTTCTGAACACTTCCACATTTTTATGCCTATTAAAGGTCAGAGAGATCTAATCTTCGTTTATGTTCCCAGTGCCAAATTTAGATGTTCTCTCCTTTTTCCTGAAGACAAAAGCGAGTTGGGGAGGGTGACTTGTGGGTGGCATATTGGGATTTGGTAGGAAAGGGACACTATACCTTTTGTTTGTGATCCCGCCCTTTTCCTGCCAATTTCCTGCTTCTATTGATCAGAATCAAATGAGTGGAACCATTTGAATTAACGTCCTATGGTCTGTAATAGTGATTGTAACCATACAGAAAAGTGATGGTAATTACTAGGAAGCTATTTGATAGGATTCTATTGTGTTTTTAAATGATCACTCTTCTCAAGCTGCGAACCACCGCAAATGACTGTGTTTGATCTGCATGCCTTCCCTTCACCATCCAAATCAGCCTATTTAAAAGATGAAACTTAAACTAAATTGGAAATGAAAAAAAAGCAAATATTGGAGTATTTGCTCTGTTCAAATATTGCACTGACGCTTTTTGAATACAAATAGGACTAAAAAGGAATTCTAGAGTTATTTGTGGTCAAATGAAAATTGAGATAATTTTAGTTCTCAGAAGGAAAAAGAGAATAAAAGCGATCATCAAAGAAGAGTTTTCTCCCAAATGGAAAATAAAATGAACACTGCTTCTCAAGTAACCCCTCTCAGATTAGCATAAGAAGACATAATCGTATAATCAGATGAAACACCTCGACTTAAAAAGAATCATCAATCATCGGCAATATAAAAGAGCATTTCAGTCTCTCTTTTTCTTTGACCGACTGACTGACTTGTTTTTAGATCTATCTGAATTACTTGATACCGATTTCTATGCATTTTTGCTTTCAAAAGATTGAAAACAGAGCATGAATATGACCGAAACAAGCCCAAAAATAAATCGAAGACCTCGAAAGAATTTTAAAAATTAGGAAATTTCTCATTTTTTTGCTCGAAACTTACTTAACTTTTTCTCTAAAAAACGCGATTGAATTAGGTCAAAAAAGTGCACCAATGAGTTGAGTCAGGGGCGGATCTAGGATTTTCTCGGGGGGAGGGGGTGGATTTTCGATTTTCAAAAAGTTTTCGAATGGTGAACCAAATTGTTTTCCGAACTCTCCCAAAGCACTAAAAAAACCGTTTTAGCCAAATTTTCCTGCGCCGCAGGCAACATTTAAAAAAAAAACAGGCCAAAAAAGCTTTTATATACACATTTTTTGAAAAATTTGGGCTAAAAATTCGCGTTTTTTCGGCGCGCGCTCCCCCTCAAATTTAGTATATATTGTCAACGAAGGAGCCCTTAGAAAGTTTTTAGAGTCCGTCACCGAAAATTGATATCTCAAAAATAGTACAAAGGGGTTACCCTTTGGGTCGGCAAGGGGTCGAATCCCTGAAGGAAACCCCCCCCCCCCCCCCCAAATCCGCCCATGCAATGAGTGATTTTCTAAAAATGGGGTAGAATTAAGTTCGGAGGTCAGACATTTTTCAAATTCAAGTCAGCCTGTCTTTTTTAAGGATCGCCAATAACATCTTTTTAAATTTTACCTATCTTAGGTGCAGAAGATTTTCAAAAAACCAACGATAAATTTTTTCCAAGAAACTTCATCAATTTGGCTTTGGGAACATACAGAGACTTTGAAACAAGTTACAAAAAATATTTTTAACTGGGTGTTTTTTTCTCCAGACGTAATCCGGCATTTAAATAGCCAATTTTGATGGAATTTTTCACCCTGTCTGAAATATATTGATGCTCTAAGCTCAGAATTTTTTTTACCTGTAACTATTTTTTACAAAGTAATTGAGGCTTCAAAATTTCCAGTTTGACTAATTTGGGATACTAAACGCGCGTTATTTACCACTTTTCTATTGACAAGTAGCATAAGTGACACTCTAAGGCAGCTCTGAAACCCTCTTAAATGTTTCCAAATTACTACGTGGCATAATTACTTCGTGCGCTGTAACGAGATATTCAGACCAATAAATTCCCTCTTCTTTTCGCCATTTTCCACCGACCCACTCTTTTACAAAATTTTTATAGCAATTAGGAAATGATTTATAAGTGAAATCATCTCATGGTCGTTAACGTGATCGAAAAAAAATACTTCAAATATTGATAAATCAGTGAACGAATTTAACGGAGGAAAGCTTTAATTATCCAAAAGTAGTAATACAATTTTTTTTGATTGCCCCGGCTGCCATTTTTTCGTCGTGCTAAGTGATATTGTCAAAATTTTGCACAATAAAACAGCCAAACATGAATTAAAAAAATTTTTGCACGAAAACTGCATTCTTTGCAAGATTCTTGCAAGATTCTTACAAGATCTTACAAAATACCTAGGTGGAAACTAATCAATCTTACAGGAACCTTGTAAGATCTTACCTGCTTCTTGTATGATTGATTAGTTTTAAATAGGGTATCTTGTAAGATTCTTGCAAGATTCTGACAGAAAACTGCATTCTCTTGCAAGATTCTTGCAAGATTCTTGCAAGATCTTACAAAATACCTAGGTCAAAACTAATCGAAGCTTGCAAGAATCTTTCAATCTTACAAGCTTCTTACATGATTGATTAGTTTAAATAGGGTATCTTGTAAGATTTTTGCAAGGTTCCTGCAAGATCTTGAAAGAAATCCCAGTCAAAACTAATCAATCTTGCAAGAATCTTGTAAGAACTCACAAGACAAGACTCTTGCATGCTTCATTAAATTTAAACGGGGTATCTGTTAAGATTTTGCAAGACAACTCAATCGGACCTAGCTCAATCAGAACTAGTTCAATCAGAACTAGTTCATTCAGTGGTAAAAAACCATCCATATTTCTGCTTTCACATGTTCAGTCTGGAACGTCCATTTATGTCAGACGGTAAAACCACATGATCAACTACTCCATTAGGCTGCTCCAGTAAGTTATTGGGTCTCACGTTAATGAGTTATGGCTAGTGTCACAACCAAACAAATGGACCCAAAAAACAACTTTTTAATTGAAATGTAAAACAACACATGACTCGCTCCTCTATTGGGATGCAGAAATAACTTATTGGGTCTTACCTAATGGGTTATGGCTAGTGCCACAACCAAACTAACGCACTTAAAAATTAACTTATTAACTGAAGGGTAGCACAGCAAATTACCCGCTCTTTTAGTGGGATGCTGCATCAAATCAAGGAATCTCATGTTAATGTGTTATGACGAGTGCCACAACTGAACTAACGGACCCAAAGACAACTACGTAATTAACGGGTAAAACAACAAACACATGACCCGCTCATCTATTGGGATGTTGCAAAAACTTATCAGAATTCTTGTCAATGGGTTATGGCGACCGCATAAACCAAAAAAAAAAAAGATTACTTAAAAAATCAGAAGATGTCAGCTCATGTCTTGCACGAGCGAGAAAATTACACAGGATCGGCTCTGAAGGTCTCTGAAATTAATTCCACCACCAAAGATAAAAGGAAAAGCTCGTTAAAATATTTAAAATTAAATTTTGTATTGGTGACATCGTTAATTGAAGACGGAACTGATATTAAAATATTTGATATCTCAGCAGTAAAAGAACACGCCTTTCTTTTATTTAAACTTTACCAAATAAGTCATAAAGAATCAAAAACGATGCCACCGCTACCTGATAAAACATAGCTCGTAGCCCAACAAAACTAAACAAAGGATTTTATATGTCATACCAAGACGTGTTGAATAGATGATAATACTCTTTTTAAGTTCTAAATGAAATCTTACGACAATTACTCAACAAAATCAAGTGATACATAAAAAACGCTATGTCTGAAAAAACGAGACTACATCTGTAGATGGCGCGCTTGCTTTCCTGTTTTCAGCTTGCCGTGAAGTTTTTTTTTTCTTCATCATTTCAAAAGGACCAAACTGTTTAGTTCACATAACTGACTTTGTTTTGCTTTAGCGTTACTACCAGAAAGTTCTTAGTGAAAATGCAAGCAATTTTGTGAGATCTTGTGAAAATAATACAAGAACTTGCAAGATATTTTGCTCGAAAAACTGCTGGGGTATCTAGTTAGATCTTATAAGAACCTTGCAAGATCTTACAAGATAGCCCGCCATGTACAAGATACAACAAAATAGGTCATTTCTGCAAGTTTTTCACAAAATTTTACAGGATTGGTTATCTTTGTCTACTAGGGCTCACAGAGAACATCACCGCCAGCTTATCTTTGAAATTATTAATTGATGCAAAATGTCTTTCTATGTTATTGCTACGACCATTTTCGAAGTTTGTAGAATTTATGGCGTTGATCGACAAAAGT